TTTTTTTTTTTTTTTTTTTTTTTTTTTTTTTTTTTTTTTTTTTTTAACTTCGACCCATATTTGTCAAAACGAGTAGTATGTTTTGGTTCATGTTTTTTCTTATCATTGAATTATTTTAATGTTTCATAATTACATTTTTTTAAACTGGATATGTTTATTCCAAGTTACTCATCTCTTGTGTCTGAATACTTTTTACCATTATTTTCTATCGTCAAAATTATGTAAGTATAACTTGATTTTTTTTCTTTGAACTATGAGACAAAATAAAGACAATATAAAACAGAACAAGATAATTTTGACTTAAGACTATGACAAAATTTATTTAAAGAATTTTGTTGAAACACACTAAACTATTATCTTTATTATTGGTTTGTTGTGCTGTTGTGAAGCCTAATTCACTCATTGTGCAGAATGTTTTAAAACTAACGTATAAAAAAAATCGTTGTAGTGCCATGTAACAAAACTTTTCTGAAAACTAGTAACTGGCCTGATGTACTCCTGAATTAAATATTCCAGTTGAGGATTTCACTTCGTTTAAAAATCAATATAAAATTGTGATGTAGTTAATCAATCCTAAGTAGTTATTAACATACAAAAATCATTAAGTTTACTGATTATCTTGATTATGTTAACTGACTAACAAAGTCCGCCGATTATTATTTTTGTTTCATTAGACTGTATTTAGAAAATCACATGACGAAATTTGGATGATTAAAAATTTTGTTACGTTGTGCCAATAGTTTATATCTTGTTAATAACTGTTACTAACACAAAGTTTTTATACCAATGAGAGAGTGAGAACATTTATTTTACAGGTTTATGAAATTTATGTCTTTTTGTATAGTTTTTTCACATTTTGTTTTTAACAAGTTCCCTTGCAAGTAAATTTAAGAACCCTAAATTCAAGATTTAATCTCAGATACCTTAACTATAGTATATTTTTTGTTCTTAAGATTAGTCAAATGATGCACGTTGTTCTATTAATAACTCTATTTCACAATTAAAATTTCTATTTAAAGTTAGAAATCTGTATTATTCGTAAGCAATATTATTTTGAATAATCAAAGAAAGTATGTACACATTATTTGTATTCAAACGAAACATTTCTTATCATAAGATTAGAAAAAAAATGTTAGAGAGTATTTCTTATTTAATATTTTATCGTTAATTCTCTAATATATTTTAACAGTTATTATACTAAATAATAAGATTTTGTTAGATTAGTACTTAGTTTACTAACACACTTAAAAGTGTAGATTACATTGAACTTCTTACATTGAAGTTATTGAAAGGTTAGGAATTTATTTCTATACTTTGAATAGCCGATGAATAAGAAGTTACTCTTACTGTTCTTTTTAAAAATGAAACTCTCTTGTAAGGTAGTACCGCTAAAAGCTGAGTTTGCATGAGAATACTTAATTTTACTATTTTAGGAGGCTCAGTGCTACAAACATACCTGTTAGCCTTCTTCTCCCTTAATTTAGGACTGGTTGTTTTTTTTCCCAATAAGTGTGCGGAAAACACCTATTTTTCGCACACTTATTGCGAAAAACTTGTACGCAACTCATGCGCGACGATTTCCCGCTAGCGTGTGATAGACTCGCACTCGTGGCTGGTGATAGTAACTCGTGCGAGTTAATTATAACTCATGCGGGAAATCGTCTTTTTTGCATTCGTTACGTAAATAACTATTAGAATTTGCGCGTTTTACTAAATAGTTTGTAAGTTTTCTCATAGAGGCAAATCGAGACAAGATTCCTTACTTTTTAATCATGGATATAAATTAAAAATTTTTAGGTTGCCATGGACTTAAGCCTCAACTGTATCCAAATGTGACTGAGTTAGAGATAAATGAAGGAGAAACTTTAAACATAACGTGCACAAGCAACAGCTATGTTAATTTTTATTTCCCTACAAGTAATAGAAGGGGTAGAGTAAGTTGAATGACTTTACCATTGCATGTTTGATGAGTTGTAGAAAAAAAATACTTCAAAGAAATAATAACCACTAATTTTTGCATTAAAAAAAAAAAGACCACCTCTCGGCCCCTTATTACACCAGAAGTCAGGAGTACCCACAAGATATTCATAAGATTATCTACTGTTTTTGGAGATACTGGCTGGTACGGATGTGCTGATGAAAGCAAACAAATAACAAGTTTGACGTACAAAAACTACAGCGACCTAAGTATCAGTTGGGTGTACGTTTATGTAAAATGTAAGAGTGATGGGCATTTTGGATTTTTCTTTTTGTAAACTAAATTCTATTTGAAAACTTAAATAATGCTAAATACAATGCTTATTAAAAAATGGTTTTTTTTCCATGTGCAGCCAATAGAAGTTCCTTCGTACACTTAAATAAGGATAATACTCATTATTTACTATCTTACGGATGTTATGAAAAACTTATCTTACCATGTCAGACGACATCCCCTGAATTTAAAGTGACTCTTAAAAAAAATGGACATGTAAAACATACTTCACGCATAATAAAAACTTATGTAGAAAACGACCCAAAGTCTTCAATATTTATAATTTTCTTAGGTTTTCGGACTGAGCGAAAAGATCACTTTTGACTCCAAAACTGGTTTTGTCATTGAAGAAGCAAATTGGGATACGACCAGTGTATATACTTGTACTGTTGAAAATAAAAAATTTTCACATTCAATAAAAATAAAAGCTCAGACTACTACCTTCTTTTCATGTATGAGTTTCTTAAGAATATCCGGTGAAAAAGCTGTATCAACTGGTTCAAGATTGAATCTTACATGCACAGTTCAAATAAGAAGAGAAGCCTTTTACACTATCTCCTGGGAGATTCCACACAACGTAATAAATTGAACACAGCTAGAATTTAATATGCAGTTTTTGTTTCATGTCTTAAAATATGAATAGTTAGATATTTTTAATGTGATGTTCAATTAATGAAAAACGTGTGCTTATCAGACTTCCAGAAAAGTTTTAAATACCGTTCGAGTAGAAGAAAAAGGAATTCATAATTTAGTCAATCTCATAACATCTGAGCTTATTATTGACAATGTTACTTACGATGATAGAGGTAACTACGCTTGTAAAATAAGATCTTCGTTTGATGAAGAAAAGAGTCTTGATACTTACGTTTGCGTATTTGGTGAGTGATTGATAAATTTTTTTTCGTTTATGATTATTGTTATCATAAATACTTTTATCCTTCATTCAAAGTACTACGTAAAAAATAAATCTCTGTAAATTCGAATTTGTAGATACTAACAAACCATACATCAATCTAACTTCTGACAATCTTTATGTAGTCTCAGAGAATGGTAAATCAGTGACTTTCTTGGCTCTTGTTGATGCATGTCCAATACCAACTTTGGAGTGGTAATATGTTTAATCCTTAGTAGTGCTTTAGTGTTTATAAATTTATTTATTCATTTATTTTTAGTACTATTAAACATTATTTTCCATTTCAGGACTCACCCTCAAGGTTATATAATTCGCCCCTACGATTCGGACGTAAGAATGTCCGATTACGGAACGATGAGCCAATTGACTCTATTAAACATCGATAAATATGCCACGGGAACTTTTACGCTGAGAGCTAAACATGATAAAATAGTAAAGGAGTTGAAATTTTATCTTGAAGTTTATGGTACATAAAAAATGTTAGATACTCACATAATATACATATTTTGAACGGAACGAGACAGAATATTAAGAAATATTAGAGAGTCAATTATTTTTTACAGTTTAATCATACAGTTTTGTTTTGAGTATTTTTAGTTCAATATTATCAAAACTGAAAGTAGTCTGTAGGCAGTGGTAAAATTATTATTTGAACTTTACACTTGCTGCTCCTGAGCATTAATGATCTTGTACTAGTTTTGTGATTGAAACTTTGCGAATTCACAATATTTTTTTTTTTTTTTTTTGCAGGTAAGCCAACGGTCGAGTTTGATAAAACTTACCTCAAATCTTACTACAGTTTTAATAAAACTGCCAAGTTTGTTTGCCTTGCCAATGGTCATCCTAAGTCAAATATATCCTGGACCATAATGAATTATCTGGTAAATAAGTTGATACTTAACAATAAGATACATTAATTACAGGTTAGTTAGTTACAATTAGAATTAATTAACTCATCTGTAATGGTAGGCTAGGTTTACATAAAACTTTAAACGTAACTAGAAATGTTATTTTACGATCGTTATTTGATTATTTTAGGGAATGGAAACAGATGTCCATAGTAGCAATTTTGAACAAAAGTCAGTGCTGGAACGGAAACAGCTGATAACACCTTGTGTAATAGTATGCACGGCTTGCAATAGCTATGGATGTGCCTCTGCGTCAAAGAAAATTCGCATAACAGGTACATAGATCTAAACAATAGTGTTTAATCTTGATTTTTATACATCTTTTACTTTTTGTCGTGAGCTTACGTTGCATGAATAATTTTTTTTTCTTCAGATGGCGTAGCTAATGCATCTTTTGGAATCATACAACCAAATAGAAGTTTTCAGAAAGGTGACAATATTTCTTTAATATGTGCTGCTATAATAAATGATTTCTACGGCGTCGTATGGTATGATGATAATGGTCAGGTGGTAGTGGATTCTGGTTAGTTTTTAATTTGTTTTTCAAGTGTTATGAGTCAAGTTTTCTAGTACAGTTTGACAAATAATACATGTTTTCTAATATGTATAGAAAGAATACACGTTACATCGAAGATAACTGAATTTACTTACCAAGCCATTCTCACAATCAATAACGTGAATGAATCAGATAGAAGGAAGTACTATTGCAAAGGGACGGAAAGATACTACGGACTTGTTAGAAATCCTTCGCGCAAAATACTTACAGAGTCATACTTCCTTAACATCAATAGTAAGAATAAGAAACAGTTATGATGTATATTATCTTTTATAAATCTTAACTATTTTTATTCCGTTGATGGTAATTTTGTTGTATAGATCCACCTTCTTTTACCCTTGTAAATTTGAACGCTACAGAGAGAACAGTGATGGCAAGGAATTTTGAGAATCCCCTGACATTATTATGCTATGTTGGAGGGATTCCAACCCCTAACATTACGTGGTCGAAAAACAATGTACCTCTGAAGATGTCATCACAGTATACTTTCGAGGACAACAATCAAAAATTAACTATAAGATACTTTTTTGAAAAAGATTCTGGTTATTATTCATGCCATGCTAAGAACGATTACGGAACAGTGGAACAATCACAAATTATTGTTGTGAAAGGTAACAAATATCATTGCCAACAGTAATTACGCACTCCTTTACTTCTTTCTTTATGTTTTGAAAACAAATTTTAACGAGTAAAATAAGTCTGGACTATACAAAAGTACAAAATATTTAACATTTGATTATATTATTTAAAACTATGTAAGGCATTATTGACTTTTTAAGAATAAAGTACTGAATATTGAACAAAATATAAATCGTTTTAATCAGTAACAGAAAAGAGTTTGATTAACAAAAATTCATGTAATGTCGAGCAGTCAACTATAAATACACTTGAGAAATTTTTCAAATAGTATAGCTCATGAGCTCATGCTTTCTCTATAATCGAAAACAAGATGGGTGTAATAAGCCCGCACCTATAGAAGCATATATAATGCATTCGATGTTTTTTTTCGTTGCCCACATGTGAAGATATAAAGACACTGTAGTTTTAAAAAAAGTTCTTTATGATTCCTGTAAAAACATCGATTATTTAATGCAAAAGTTGGTAACCTCATGCCTTACTTACTCTAGGGGCTTAACATTATATATTCGAAAATTTTATTGCTTTTTGTACTATTTTATAGAGAAGTGAAAAACAACCCTTTCAAAGAACATGATTTTAACTAGTTTTTTGAATTTATGTAATCAAAGTCGGGTATTTTAGTAATAGTATCTGTCTGCCAGTGTTTATTTGCATGTGTGTGTGCGTTTGAGTAGTTATATCCTAGGATTTTCATAACCAATAATTACTTCTGATTGGTTACCAGTAACTTAGAAATAAAGGTTTGTGTTGTTTTTTTCTGCTCTTGTGTTGACTTGCCAACTTTCCAAAAACCAATTTTTTTGTTCAATGGTACGTTATGATAGAAACTCTAAGAGATCAAAAAACTTGCCATAAAGTCTTACACAAAAAAGAATTCATCCACTTACATTTAAAAAAAATTCTGTTTTCCGGTGTATGTACGTCAGTTAATGTATGTACAAAAAATGTATTAGAACTTTGGTGTCCCCGCGTGAATAAGATCAGAATTTTTTTGTGTATAATGTAATAACGTAGAAAATGAGAAAAAAGAATGTACATTTGAGTGTATGTAAATAGTATCTACAGGATTCTATCAACAGGGATTCTATACTAATAGCACTTAATTATTATAACTGGCATTTTTTACCCTATGACCTTAAAGTATTTTAAATTTCGTGCATAAGAGAAATTTACCGTTCGCTACACTTACGTAATCAACTCTTATCAAGACCATGGAAATATATAAATGTATGAGTTTTTGCTACAACATTACAGTAACTTACTATGATGTATACTACTATTGACTATCTTGTGAGCCGAAAGCGCGTTAACACTAACGAATTTTCTTGTCTGAAAGAAAATTCTGAAACGATATAATCGTCTTCTATCTTGCAGGATGTATTGAAAAAAATACATTTGTCAAAAAAGGTCAAGCCGTCGATAGGAAGTTCCTTAAATAATCAATGCAAAGGAAAACTGTTTGATGCACTTTATTTGAGATATGTCAGGATAGCCTCGTGTCAGTTTAGTTTCTTTAGTTACTTAAGGCTATTTTATAATAATACTTGTAGAACTTATTTATTTCTAGAAGATTCAGGTTATTATTTTTAATATCGTAAAAAAAGGTTGAACTTATAATTTTTTATTTCTCAAAATACATGTCTTCAGAATTTTAGATCAGACTAAAAAAAAAAAATATTTCTTTTAACGTATGAAGCTGGATTCTGATTGTGTTTGAACTGTACTTGAAATATGTCAGGGTGGCCTCGTGTCAGTTTGTTTTCTCTAGTAGCTTAAGGTTATTTTGTAACAATACTTGTAGAACTCGTTGAAGTAAAATTATTTTTTGGAAATTTCGGATTGTTATTTTTAATATTGTGAAAAAAGATGGTATATCTAATTTTTTATTTTTGGAACTATATCTCTTCAGATTTGTAGATCAAACCGAAGAAAGCTAGATTCTGAATTTGTTATGATGATTTATTTTTGTAAATTTGAGTATAAGAGATTTAAATAAAATTTAATATTGAGAGAAGTAAAAAGTTCTTTGATAAAAGCAATCAATTTTCGTTGTAGGAAATCCAAATACTAATTTTTATACTGGAATAGTCGTATGGTTCATCGCAATCCTTACTTTTATATCAATTTACTTTTACTTACAAGTACAACATGGAAAGGTAAATAAAAAAATTTAATTATTATCAACACACGTGCATNGACATGAACTTCCCGTAGCACATAAGAATATTCTGAATTCATACGATGAAATTGTTGCTTTAAAAGACTTATAATGTACTGTTTCTTATTCGATGTATGATTAGTATTTATGTTTTCATGGTTATTGAGAGCGCTCACTACTACGTTAACGTTGACTCATTTGTTCATAAGACGCAATTTAAAAAGTATAAGATTAGTTTGATTAATATTAACGTTAAATTTGATTCTCTTCCATCACATCAAGATAAAAAATTAGGAAGTGGAGCTTTCGGAGTCGTGTATAAAGCCGTAGCTTATGGAATATTTGCTAAAAAATCTAAGACAACTGTAGCTGTAAAAACTGTTCGCAAAAATGCAGATCCAATGTATATTACTGCATTGGCGAAGGAGCTTAAAATTATGATTTATTTGGGACAACATTTGAATATAACAAGTCTTTTGGGGGCTTGCACGAAAAATATAGCCAAACGTAATCATTCGCGTAATACTATGATCAATTGCATATAAAAAAAGTGTATTTATTAGACAAAATTATTTTACATTTCAGGTGAACTTTTTGTGATTGTTGAGCTTTGCAAATTTGGAAACCTGCAAAATTATCTCTTGAATCATCGACAAACTTTTATCAATCAAATTAAATCAGATAAAGGTAAAATCGGCCCTTATATCAGAAAAACATCAAATAGGTAATTATTTTACTGATTTTACTTTTTTTAATTCTCAAGCAATTATACGTTAAGTAGACCAAGTACACCGAAAAAACTTGTATTTTTCCATCGATACGTTAATTCGAACTAATTTTTTTAATATAAAATACAAGAAGCATTGATTTTTATCTTAGTTTTGAAGAAAAATTAAAGATATAATTGATAAAGATAAAAAAATTTTATAAAAATATGCAAGAGTTCTTGTGTTATTACTTAGCATCGCTCCCAAAATCTTATAGTAAAAAAACTAAATGAATATTATCACGTGTCAGAGCGAGTTATGGAGGGCAAGCCTGACTTCGATTGGCATCGTTTGCATGTATAGAGAAGAATAGAGTAAAGAACTTGAAAAAGTTCTCATCCATAGTGATATCATTATACTTTTTGTCTTTAAATTATAAGTCATAAGGCATTGCTGTTGATATTAAATTTTGTATCTAACGATTCAAATAAATTATATAATTAAATTAAAAAAAATATCGTTAAGTAGTATACTGGTATCAAGTAGCAATGAAGTTGAAATTCGAAAACGTTGTCTTCAGTACGACGAACATTTTGGATTCAAGAAAACTGTTTTCCTTTTTAAGATTATTATTCCTTAAAATGTACGACTTGATTCGTAATCACAATTCCAGTTGTAGTACTTAAAAGAGTAAAAACTGTTGATGAGAGCATAGTTTGTAAAACAGAATATTAGTAGGATTATTGGTTTTGAGGACATACATGCATTAATGAATACTTATCTTGAATACTTCTTTGAGTATTAATCAAATTTTGAAGTCCATATACTTATTTTGGTCTAAGTTTAAATAATGTTACCGTTCGTCAATTCAGATTTTTATCGATAAAGCACTTAGTAATTTGGCTACAGAGTTTGTACAGAAAGAATTAAGTTTTTACATCTACAAAAAAAACACTTCTACTAAATAAAAAATAATCAAAATTTTCTTGTTTTCTTACAAATTGTAAATCTCATAGACACAACACATGAGTTTAATTTTTTTTAACAATAGGACAAAATACAAGATATTTAATGATTTTAGTGTGGTTTTAAGCGGCAGTAATTCAAGCAATGAGACCAGCATTTACTGCTCAGAGGATCGGACATTTGTTGGCTCAATGGAATTTAGTGATGATTTTGATGACGATGATTCCCAGCCAGGTTGGCGTTCTAATTGCAAAGGGGACTACGCGAATGAAGATGTTTCGTTTCTCTGCACTGAGGATCTTTTTTTATGGGCTTATCAAGTAGCAAATGGTATGGAGTACCTTTCCCAAAGAAAGGCAAGCACCTATATGTATACAATTATTTATGTTACTGGATTTTAACATATGAACTAACTGTAGGTGTTTGCTACTTGTTTTATTTTCAGGTGCTACATTGTGATTTAGCCACGAGGAATATATTATTGGCAGAAAATAACATTATTAAGATATGCGATTTTGGTCTAGCAAAGACATTGTACAAAGACGAAAACTATAAGAAGCAAAGCGTTGGCAAGTTGCCTGTAAAGTGGATGGCCATTGAGTCCATTAGGGATGGAGTCTTTTCAACTATGTCAGATGTGTGGTCATTTGGTGTAGTTCTATGGGAACTTTTCACCCTTGCAGAAATACCTTACGCAGGTGTAGGGTTCGAAGTAATGTATCAGAAATTAGTCAGGGGATACAGATTGGCTCAGCCTACTTTAGCCACTGATGACATGTAAATAAATGTTTTTGTAAAAAGTTCATTTCTAGAAGTTCATCTTACAACATTGCTTACCTTTTTTTAGTTACAATACTATGCTCGATTGCTGGGAAGAAGAGCCGACATTAAGGCCATCTTTTACAATGCTGGTTGAAAGTTTTAAAAATCTTTTACAAGATGACATCAAAATACGCTTTCTAAAACTCTATCATACGTATGAAAATTGAAATGGAGAACGACAGTTAGAAAAAAAAAAAGAAAATCAAACTTTATCATTATCAGACGATATAATAATTCGACCGAGCCAGCACAACTACGTAAACACTATACCCGAAATCGCAAGTCCATCTTATCTAAACGTGTTTGATGGTATTGTTGTAACTAATAATAAAAATATTTGATCACTTAATGACTTGAACTTTAAAAACAAATAGCAAGTATGTATATCCATCAAAAATATATGATTATCTTATTAAAATTTTATGCTTTTTGTAGAGTTCCATAGTTATTCAAAATTGTTAAACCAAATGAGACAGTTTTAATACATATATTGTTTTATACATTTTACTTTAGTTCCTTATTACTCTTATTATTTTTTTCCTATCAGCGCTGCGTCATAAATCAAGGCGCTTCTCCCTCGAGAGATACACCATCTAGCGTTAATTATATATGCGTTACTATGGCGGTAAATGAGTTAGCAAATCATTCAAAGTGCAAATTTGGCAATCATGTACTTATTTTGCGGAATTAGAGTTACAGTACGTCTGTGTATATTATACGTTCGTCAGCTGATTGTACACGACGTAACCTCCCACATTCTTTATTCCTTGATGTAAATAAATGATTAGAAATGGATCATTGGTCCAAAAACCAGTTGCGTGTAAACGGAGGAAAGTTTGTTCGTAAAAAAAAATTAGACAAAATGATTCGAGAAAAAAAGGGTATACGTCCCAAAAACATTAAGACGATGGAGACTAAGGAGAAAAAGAATGAGCCCTGCCTTTCAGAGAGAATTGTTTCATTTAAAGGCCGTTGGACCGTAAATATGGACAGTTTCGCCAGAAGTTTGTTATGTTCACATTGTACCGATCGAATTTTTTTGGAAAACAGGAAAATATTTTCGAGGAGGAACAGCATGGTGTTTTATCCACTTTTAAAATCAAGTGCTTAAAATGTTGTGCTATAACAAATGTCAAATCTGTCAAAGAACACCAAGTCCCAGCAGAGCTGATTTCACCCCGACAATCAAAGGAAGTTTTTAATCAAAGTGTCACCAACGAGATGTTGGTTCTTGGTAATAAAAAAGTCATATTTGTGATTAAATGATTGTCATAATTTCAATATTTTTAATAATATAGGTAGCGTAGAGGCAACAATTGGCTGCAGAGAGTTGATTCGGCTTTTCGCATATTTAAATATACCGTCAATCGACCACAAGTTGTACGCAAGATATTTGACTTCTGTTGGAGCTGCAATAACAAAAGTTGCCGAAGAAAGTTGTGCTGAAGCAAGACAAGAAGAACGCCGGTTGGTTATTAAAAATATGGAAGACCTTCGTATGGAATTGTAGATAAAAAAATTTTATGAAAATATGCAAGAGTTTTTGTGTTATTACTTAGCATCTCTTCCAAAATCTCAAAGTTGAAAAAAAAAAAATTAATATAATCACGTGTCAGAGCAAGTTATGGAGGCAAGCCTGAGTTTAATCATTATCGTTTGCATGTATAGAGAAGAATAGAGTAAAGAACATGAAAAAGTTCTNAAATTTTATGCTTTTTGTAGAGTTCCATAGTTATTCAAAATTGTTAAACCAAATGAGACAGTTTTAATACATATATTGTTTTATACATTTTACTTTAGTTCCTTATTACTCTTATTATTTTTTTCCTATCAGCGCTGCGTCATAAATCAAGGCGCTTCTCCCTCGAGAGATACACCATCTAGCGTTAATTATATATGCGTTACTATGGCGGTAAATGAGTTAGCAAATCATTCAAAGTGCAAATTTGGCAATCATGTACTTATTTTGCGGAATTAGAGTTACAGTACGTCTGTGTATATTATACGTTCGTCAGCTGATTGTACACGACGTAACCTCCCACATTCTTTATTCCTTGATGTAAATAAATGATTAGAAATGGATCATTGGTCCAAAAACCAGTTGCGTGTAAACGGAGGAAAGTTTGTTCGTAAAAAAAAATTAGACAAAATGATGCGAGAANGTGGTGTGCTAGTTCTCGATTTTCCAAGGTAAATTTTGAGAAGTTCCATGCTGTCACTTTTAAAAGCTAAGAACTGTACACTGATATAAAAATTATTTTTGTAATTTACGCAGCCAATGCTTATCAATTTTGCATAACAGCTATGAGCCAACGCAATGAACGCTTGAACAGCATCATAGTGAATCATTTTCCGAGAAATAAAAACTATAGAAAAATGTTTTGCAACATTCACCTGGAAAAAATACCTGCAAGTTTTCAGATCTAGCAGATAAAAAAAGACTGAGGGAGGGAGAACTAAGATCAACGGAAGAGTACAAATATAAAAGGAGTCTGAATCACAGTATTAGACAAAGTTGTCGAGTTAGAACTGAAGATATCAAAAGTCCAAGCTACTAGTCGGATCTTTCAATGACAAATGTTTAAAACAATAATTTTAAAATTTTTACAACTACAGTAATTGGTGATGACGTTGTTGTATATTACGACTTAGAAACGACGAACTTAGATATAGATTCTTGTGATATAATTTAAATTGCTGCCAAAACTGGAGAAGCACAATTTTCTGTGTATGTTACACCGACTCAAAATATCGACACAGAAGCATCTCCAGCAATCAAATTAAGTAACAGAGGACCAAAACTTTATTATGATAGCGTTGAATGAGAAACGATTTCGTTACCGAAAGCACTTGCTGGCTAACGTGATTTTTTACATAAATTAGGAAAAAAGTGTATTGTTATTGCTTATGACAATAGTCGTTTTGATCATACGTTACTGATGAGGGTCATTCAAAAGGCAAACCTAAGAGATTATTTTTAAACAATTTTACATGGCTTTGTTGATTCTTAATTATTATTTAAAAAAGTATTTCAGAGAGAAATGGTCCAGGTAGTTTGAAGCTAAGCAATTTTGCAAAAGATTTGTTAAAAATCAGTGGAAATTTTTACGCAGCAATGTTTGACGTGAGAGTCTTCGAAAGCTTATGTAAACAATTGATCGATGAATTGGATGTGACAAAAAAATAATTACCTTCGATCATTTTGCAACTGAAAAAATGAGCAGTACTTAATAATATCAAAAATGCCAGACTTAGATTTAATTAAAAAAATTACTAATACCGCCCTTTGCAAAAAAATTATCGCACAAGGAATGACGTATAATCATTAACGTGAAAAATTCGTTACTTTAGGAAAAAGCTTGTTTGAAAAATTTTAAAAGAAATATGTAGACGTTCAGTACGTATTACAAAATATGCTTTTTTTGTGCAAAATTCAATTGATCATTTCTCTACTTCATAGTTGTGTGTTTTATGTATTTATTACAATTTAACCGTTATTAATAATTGTAAGTTTAATAAGCATTTATTCAAATATACAAATATAAACAAAAATCTTGTAATTTTTAATTAGTTCCATAATAATAATGATTATTTACCTTATCTGATTTATTATTATTGGAAAAAAAACTTTTGTGCATGTATTCTGCATACCTATGTGCGTAATTCAATTTGAACGTGGTGCAGAAGATACATGTTGCTAACTGCGTTTCACTAAATTATTTCGTGACAAAAGTAACCTTTTATTCTCGTTGCTTGCTACTTTGAAACTCAAATTAATAATATAAGTAAACGTACAAAGTTTCTATTCAATTGACTAAAACATTTCTGGAATTAACAACTATGTGGTGATGGTTTTTAATCAAGGACAAATAATTTATTTTCCGAGTAATCTACAAAACAGAGCAGTGAGTCGACAGCCGTTGCCATAAGACACCCTGCGTTAGACAAAGAGATGCATACGAATTTGTCGAACTTTGAAATTGTTTTACGCAAGAACTAAACGTACAAGTATGCCTAAATTCTTAGAAAATGTGTATTAATACATCATCTAGCAATAAACAAAGTTTCAAGCAAATATATAATAGTTTATTCTCTGGGAGAAGCACCTTAAACTCTGTATATTTTGATGAATTTTATTTTATTGCATTTAACAGACTATTTTCAAATTTAATCTCTTACAATCCAAATATACTTTTAGAGGATGCTAATTCAGTGTTACGTACGATAGCATATAGATATACGTGCGTGCGCCTCTGCTGGTTTGGGCCTGAAAGGTAGGGGAATAGATAAGAGAGGTGATAGGAAAGGTAGAGAGAAGGGACAGGTAGATCAGCTCGACACGCGAAAGGGTAAGGACGAAGTCTGCGAGACGAGAAGACACGCACAACTTCCCTCAAATATAAGTAATTCTAATAAAGCATAAGTAACAACAAGTCACGCTTTTATTTATTCCTGCACTGAGAATCCCACGTAACAGCTGGGGTCAGAACTGAGATAGAGATAAAATTTTTCATGGTCTGTTGCGTGCGCGGAAATCACTTAGTCTTTGGGAACAAAAAAAAAATTTTTAATTATTTTTTTCTTGACATGATTGACGTAATAAAGAAAAGAAATAAAAAGAATATATCTCTCGTCGCAAAGAAAAAAAGTGTCCAAGGTGCCAGACGTCAAATTTAGCGTGTCAAGTGCCACAATACAAGGGAAATTGGAAAAGTAAAGGAGAACAGGAAGATATAATCTGAAAAATCTTCGANTAATAAATAAAAGAAATAAAAAGAATATATCTCTCGTCGCAAAGAAAAAAAGTGTCCAAGGTGCCAGACGTCAAATTTAGCGTGTCAAGTGCCACAATACAAGGGAAATTGGAAAAGTAAAGGAGAACAGGAAGATATAATCTGAAAAATCTTCGATACCGCAAGGGTACCAGACAAGGAAAAATTGCATATCAAGCGAATGGTCCAATATCCCAGGACACTAGAGGCAGCTACCGTTTACTAAACCCAGGAAAATACAGACAAAGAGAAGAAAGCACGGCACGCCAAGCCCGGACTACAGCCGCAAAGGGAACACGGGATACACGGCACAGGGGAAGGGAACAACGAGCGGAAGCAGAAGCTGAGCAACTCTAGGAAGGATCAAAGAAGGGACCCATAAGTATGCACGGGAC